CAATTGAAAGACAGTTCACTCCCCCCGAATTAATTTTGGTTCATAAAACAAGAAACACCATATGATGTATTCTATATACAGTGTAACCCGGATATAAGAGTTGTCGGGACCGGAGAAGAAGTCTCTTATATCCGGGTTTCTCTTACATCCGGATTTGGTCTATTTTGTTTAGGTAAGTATGGGCTCTAATTTGGGACCAGAGAAAATCTCTCTTATATCCGGGTTTCTCTTATATCCGAGTCTCTTATATCCGGGTTACACTGTATTAAGAATGGCTAAGATTGACTTGATCCATCACAAGGGCAAAATACATCAATAAGTAGACAGCGTTGTGTCAATCTTCCAAGTGAAAAGGACGTTTCTGCCTTGAAAAGCAACGTTCGAAATTCTGACTCTACACTTACTTTTGCACTCCAATCACTAATGCAAGCGGGAAGTACGCAACTAATTCAGTCATCAAGTAGGCAAGAAATATATATTTCAATGTGTTTTTTTTTTAATGACAACTAACTGGTTGGTTAGCAGTTCAAGTAAAATTAAAAGGCATTTTTTTAAAAAATGATTCAATATTAATATATCATTTTTAAAAAATAATTTTCCATTATCTTCTTTTATTCAAGAAACTGAATGATGTTCTTTCTCTTAAGTAATTACATAGTTTAAGTTGGATAATGGCTGCCAGAATAAATCGTCCATTTCATTTTAAGGAGTTCATATCAAAGAAGTGTTTCCAATCTCATCATATAATACAGCATGACTTTCCAAGAAGACAGTGAAATTTATTGGTTTCACGCTTTCTTGCATTCCATTTGCAATCGTCCATCGCAATTTATTTCCCTAATATTAAATAGCGAATCGCACACATAAATAAAGGTATGTCTGTTTTTCGCCTATGAAAACCAGCCATCTAAGCGATTAACATAACCAATCAAATGCAAATGATTTTCAGCGTTTCATTAAAATATTTTCAGCACTTTTTGTTCATTCTCAATTTTTGATTGAGGAACCGCTTTTGTATACAGACGATGATTCACTTTTTCCATAAACTGAAAAAGTTTTCAATTCTTTTTATTAGTTCTTAAATAAAAGCATGAGATAAAAAAAAAGTTCTTGCCTATTCCTTCAATTTTCAGTGTTAGAATCTCTAAAGAAAATATGTCAATTTTTGATGTTTCAAACACTCGGAGATGACAAAAGTGACAAGGCAATAAGAATTATTCATGTTGAATGAAGTTAGTCTCTAAAGTGATAATACTATCTAGTAAGCAACATAGAACCGTCTTTTTTTTTTTTTTTTCTTGGGTAAAGATATGTAGTTTTTCTCTTCCAAAAAAGGGGCTAAGCTTTCAACCTCTTAGCCTGGTTAAAGGGGACAAAATCCCGAACAAAGGACAGTATATTCAGATTTTGAACCAAAGTTTCTTATCGACAAACTAATGCAGAAATATTAATGAAACTTCCAGCAAAGCAATGACCCAAAACATGCATAAGAACTGTCCAAGAGATTATTCTAAGACAATAATGTCAATATTTTAGATTGGCCAAAGCATAGTGCAGAGCTTGGTCCATTTGATAAAATGGAGTGAATAATGAAGACTAAGGAAATGTCGAAGAATGCTTCCAGTTTTAAGAATCTGAAGACCTTCGCAAAAGAGTAGTGAACTATAATCTCTTACGGATTTTTTTTTTTTTTTGGGAATCTAGTGTTGAAGCAGGAGAAGGACAAGTTAAAGGCTGTGATTGATTTAAAAAAAGTCTTTGAAATTGATTAAGATATGAATATGAATCATTTTTAATATGGCTCTTCGGATCAGATTACAAATAATACTTTAATGAAATGCAACTTTTTTTCTCTCTATTCCTAGTGTATTCTTTTTTTTTTCTTTTATATATTAATTTTATTCACAAAAATGGCAATCCCTTAATAAAAATAATATTTTTAAATCACAAATAATTTCGGGATTTACGTCTACTTATGTTTCTTATTCACTTATTCTTTTTATATCAGTCATTTTTTTAGACCACGAAAAAAAAAACGCATATCATCCCCAAGTCTTACCAACATGAGAATTAATGAACCTTACCCTTTGATCTAGATTTACCCATCTTCTTGACTGGCGGTTGTCCCAAGAGTCCATTCGCTACTAATGGCATTAGTGAGAAGTGAACGCCAGTGCCTCTGCAGAAATTGGAAATCGGCTTGACAATTTCATTTTCTGGGCCGATAACCAGTTCGCCATTGATAAGTATCACGTTCTTATATGTTTGTTTGCACATTAACTCTTTATGGGTCAGTTAATGGCGAAGTTTCATTTTCAAGTGAGGGGGGGGGCATTAGTAATTTTATTTACAAAAATTTATTTCTGGTAATTTTTTTTCAAAATGTATTGATGGTAATTTTTTTTTTTTTTTTTAATTATTGCTGGTAATTTTTTTTTTAAAATTTATTACTGGTTAGTTTCTTTTTTTTTTAATTTATTGCACGTAATTTTTTTTTTCTTCAAGATTGTATTGCCGGTAATTTTTTACGATGAATATGCATTGCTGGTATTTTCACTATAAAAAATGTATTTTTATACTTTCATAGTGTATTGACACCAGTTTGTGGGTTAACTATTTGTTCACTGCTGGCACCCCTAACAGGTGCTTACCACCCTGGGTCAGGGTGGATCTGGGAACACCAGCGATTAAGCGGTGGTCCTACGCTCCTCAAAACCTCCCGATTAGAGACCTTGCTACCGGATGTAGTCTATCGTTATACCCAGAACGTGCTCATATATAAGGTCATATACTTGTGTTTTTGGTCGTATATCTTTCTTTGTGGGCAAAGTCTGAAATTAATCTGAATCAGATTTAATAATAATAATAATAAGTGATAAATATCCAGAAACGATTGATCATCTTGTATCAGGTTGCACGATGTTGGCACCCACTGAATATAAAACCCGACATGACAGAGTGTGCCAATATCTGCACTGGAAAATCTGCAATTTCTACGGGAAGAAAACTGAAAGAAACTGGTATGAACACCAACCAGACCCGGTTACGGGGATAGGGTCTGTTACAATTCTATGGGACTACACAATACACACTGACAAAACAATCAAAGCCAACCGGCCAGATACTATTATTAAAGACCACAAACAAAAACGGTGCCTCCTTGTTGATATGGCAGTCCCTGATGACTGCAATGTATCTTTGAAGATATTCAAAAAGCTGTCAAAATACAAGGACCTTGAAATAAAAATCTCGAAAATGTGGCATATGTGAACATCAACAATCCCTGTTGAAGTTGGAGCCCTAGGACTGGTTGGAAAAGATTGCAGTAGACTAATTGAAGGGATTCCTGGAAGTCCATGCCTCAAGGGAGATAAAAAAATTGTTCTGACAAGTATAGCCCACACTTTACGAAGGGCTTTATCTATGTAATTTTTTTTTTTTTTTTTGTCAGTGGAAAGTGTCATGATGCCATTTCTAACCTTAGGTCCCTGGGCGGAACCCTGAAAGAAATGTGTAAACGCCAGAAATCAAAGAAAATAATAATAATAATAATAATAATAATAACAACAAAAACAACAGCAAAGATTGTGTTTCACCAAAGGAAAATCCGTCGACCAGTGTATTCTTGAAGGATAACGCTTTTAAGACAAACACATTTTGTAAGTAAAGAGTTCACCATTAAGAGATAGAACAATAATAATAATAATAATCAGATTAAAAATTCCAAAAAGACAGACGATAAGGTTTTAACTTTTTATTTTTATTTATCGACTATGTTATATTTCATATAGATAATTGTATTGTTTACATGAGTAATCTTTGTTTGTTGTGGTTTGATTTTATATCTCAAATCAGATTTCAAAATGTGATAATGTATAAAATGAGTGGGAAGCGGAAAGAGTAATCAGGAGGACCGTAGATAGCGATTGCCATTGCATTTTAAATTCTTGCAGATTAAAGTTGGCTGGAAAACATGGAGCCGGAAGGGAGTTCCACAACTGTTAGAATAGAATTTACGGCTACACCTAGCCAGCTCAACTGTAAATTGGTATGATCTAGATGCTAGTACTGCGCTAAAATTTAAAAAATTCCAGGTACCATAGCAAAGGGCGATATCTATTTTTCATTAAAATATAAAAATGTGACACAAGGTCATGAGGAGGATGGGAGATGGATAGGCTTCTTCTATCTTATAATTAAACTTAGCTAGCCACAATTACTGATCCAAAGATACCACAGTATTCCTTACACCAAAAACAACACATTCTTACTTACCATTCTTACTACATCCAATATAATACCTCAGAATCTCATTGAAATCCTAACTAGTCTACATACGTAAAATTTTTGTCTGTGGGGGTGGGGAATAAAACAACAATTCTAAAAATCTAAACCCCAATGTGTATTTACAATATGCAATAAGCTATTTACAAGCGAAGAGTTTATCCAAAGAATTAGCATGAAAGTATTTATAGAAAAGACACAGAGAGGTAACCTTCCGGCGATGGGAAAGTGACTGACATAAGAACCAACACTGCATCGCAAATGTCAGTTTAACGCTACAAGTCTTCAGACCACATATAACGTTAATTCTTGAGCCAATGATCTTCAGATATGTAAATTAATATAAATAAGCGAAAACTTTTGAACGGTACTGTGTATATGAATATAGTGAGTGATCGAGTATATACTGGTTGTAGAGGAGAGTGCGTAGGACGTGCATTGCATGCGTCTCCTTTCAGGTTTAACACGCTTATTAGTTACGACTCATCAGCTCCATCTTACTGCAGTCACACCCTTTTGTCATGTCTTCGTCAACTCAATTATCACACAGACACTATTATGGATCTGCAAGCACTAATGAATTGAAAGACCTATATATATATATATATATATATATATATATAGCGCCAAACGAGTCTAGTTCATGATGAAATTCTGAATAGGTTTCCGATAAAATCTTTCCCCTAACAATCAATCAAATCTTTGCAAAGCCTTCAATGGCAGACGTGGATAATATCTTTGATTGTAATCCGACTCGTACTCAAGTAAATAACATGATGATTAAGTGCACCATCTCATTTCTTTTCCAGGTCAACTTATGTAGGTGAGACACATTAGACAGTCACACAAGACACACTCACACAAGACACACTCACACAAGACACACTCACACACACTCTTGTGCGGGTGTGTCTAGATTGTTTTCTTACACGTGTGTGTTTGAGTTCTTCAGTCAAGATTACGTAAAGAAATTACACGCGCACACAAGCAATATATACGTATACTGGGCGTCTGTCATAGTGCATAAAGTGTGATCCTCACTGGGTGCGCCTTATTTCCCTAACTCTAGCCAAACACTTAGTATATTTCGAAGCATAATTATGACTGCAATTTTTCTTTGTAAATTTGGACCTGTTCCTCGCAAATGTCAAATCGAAGCTAGAAATTCAAGTCAATTAATTTGATCTCATTGACACATCGATTCTGTAGTTCGGTTTCGCCTCTATAAAAAGGATCGTTCGTTTTAGAAGTTCATTGCAAGACAAAAACTCATTTTTGCTTTAGGAACTTAAAATTAACAATAGAAAACTTATTGTGTTCTCTTTTGTATTTTCCTCCCAGTTTGGGTGGGTAGGATGGATTGATTCAACTTTTGTCTTTTAATAGTTTTACATCTCTTTAGAATTTAGAGATTTTTCTTTCTAATCTAATTTCCCTAACCGGTTTGTTATTCTTGTTGACCGTGGCTCTCATTCAGTTCATTGTATTAACATAGATCAGGTCATTCAGGTCGGTGATAGTGTGTGGCTCAATGGGTTGGATAAGTTTATTGAAGTTTTCAGTTATCAACGAATCTTTCTCTACGCCTCGACCTATCTCTATGAGTCTATTCATATCTATCTATCTATCTATCTATCTATCTATCTATCTATCTATCTATCTATCTATCTAATTATCTATTTCAATCTATCTATCTATCTATCTATCTATCTTGGTCCATTCATTATCTATATATCTATCTATTTCAATATATTATCTATCTATCTATCTATCTACGTATTTCAATATATTATCTATCTATCTATCTATCTATCTATCTATCTAATTATCGATTTCAATATATCTATCTATCTATCTATCTATCTATTTCAATATATCTATCTATCTATTTCAATATATTATCTATCTATCTATCTATCTATCTATCTTGGTCCATTCATTATCTATATATCTATCTATTTCAATATATTATCTATCTATCTATCTATCTATCTATCTATCTATCTATCTATATATATATATATAGATATATATATATATATATATATATATATATATATATATCGACGTATTTCAATATATTATCTATCTATCTATCTATCTATCTATCTAATTATCTATTTCAATCTATCTATCTATCTATTTCAATATATCTATCTATCTATTTCAATATATTATCTATCTATCTATCTATCTATCTATCTTGGTCCATTCATTATCTATATATCTATCTACGTATTTCAATATATTATCTATCTATCTATCTATCTATCTATCTATCTATCTATCTATCTATCTATCTACGTATTTCAATATATTATCTATCTATCTATCTATCTATCTATCTATCTATCTTGGTCCATTCATTATCTATATATCTATCTATTTCAATATATTATCTATCATTCATCTATCTATCTATATATATATATATATATATATATATATATATATATATCGACGTATTTCAATATATTATCTATCTATCTATCTATCTATCTATCTAATTATCTATTTCAATCTATCTATCTATCTATTTCAATATATCTATCTATCTATTTCAATATATTATCTATCTATCTATCTATCTATCTATCTATCTATCTTGGTCCATTCATTATCTATATATCTATCTACGTATTTCAATATATTATCTATCTATCTATCTATCTATCTATCTATCTATCTATCTATCTATCTTGGTGTTGTGGTACGATCCACCTAATTTACATAGTGGAGTACCGACCATATAAATATGGGTTGGTACCGGAAGACGAGGAAGAAGGAAGAAGAGATCCAATCCAGAGACTCTGCCCGACTGCAATTAAGTCAACCCATTCTACAGGAACGGTCTTCCCAAGAATATACCAAAACTAACTGTAAATATTGTGTACCTTTTCCTTGTTTCAATACATTTTGTTTACGTACATTTTGTGTTGTATTATTATTATTCCATGCTTATCCAAGCTTCAACACTTGGTCTATTCATTATCTATCTATCTATCTATCTATCTATCTATCTATCTATCTATCTATCTATCTATCTATCTCATTCTATTCATTATTTATTTATCTATCAATCTTATTTATTATCTGTTTATTTATTTGAACATTTGCTGCCATTAATCAACATTAGATCGCATTATAGCTGCTTTTGGAAAGTTTAACGCCATTGAATCAACACAGACAGTTTGAAGTCAACTGCAGTTGGTTACTGGAAAACATTTGACATTTTTCCGCTGGCAAAAAAATAGAATAAAATCATTGCATCTTTTTATTTTATTTATAGGATATCTGTCATATTCATTTAAATATTGAATAAAAGAATCTAACCACCCAAAGGGACAGTAAATATATATTTATATAACCTATGAAATGTAAATAATTGAAGCTAGTTCAGTTCTTGCAGGATTCTCAATGTAGTTGCCTTATGTCGAACTTGACATTGTCTATCAGTCTTCATCAATAACATCATATTGGTGCAGAAAGTATAACCTAATATTTGTCCAATTACTTTTTTTATATTCGTTTGTTAGATTTTTTTTTCTCCCGGTCTTGTTCCCCCTTTTTTTCTTCTTTTTTGTCCGGTTGTTTTCTTATCGACAAACAGGATTTTCTTAAAACAGTTTTTTTTTTCAGGAAGATAGACTTCCCAAGTTCATTAACTGTTATCCTTCTTTCAAGCACCCATCGGCGTTTACTTCCTAACTTTTCGTTTAGGGTATGGTGGAAAGTCCAAATCTTGATTACATTATTATTTTCCCTTCCAGTTACATAAACTTTCCATTTTTTAGTTATTTTCTAAGCGTAGCTTAGATGTGGCACAAGGCCGAAAGTATGGGGTACCTGGTGAGGATCGAACTCACTTTTTAGTCGTAACTGATCTAGCAAGACAAGCTTGCTAACCATTACACCAGGCCGAGGCGCCCATTTTTTTAGTTGTTGCTGTTAGAAGTCATCAAGTGATTTGGTTTTTATTTGATAAAATCCACTTGTTTGTGACTCTGTAGCCCCTATTGTTAAGATTTGATGAAGGGCTGTTTTTTCATCTTTCACAAAATTCAATCATTTGAAATAACCTTTAAACATTGATCTGAGAGAGCGCTTGTATATAGCTGATTGTTTAGCTATTTCTGAACAATTTGGACGCCATTCAAGACATCTGAAAGTGTATATCTGATGAGGGTATTTAAGAACATGATTCGAGTCATTAGTTTATCAGGTTTTGTAATCTCTTGCACTGAGGAATTGGAGGGCCGAGTTCAAATTACAGTCAAAACCATTTCATTCACCTACGTGCTCAACCTTGGAAAAGGTATGAATCTTCTTCTTCTCCCTCCAGCTGTGGGTAAATAACAGGACATACCCGGTTCTATAGTCTTGGATGGCAACTAGTCTACCGCAGGAAGAAATGGCAAACTACTGTGGGGAAAAAAAAATTTACCTTGTCAGTCATTTATCGAAAGATACATGATCGCCTAAGCGTGTATCACGCATGGCACATAATTGATTGAACCTCTTGCAATGTTAGACAGAGCCCTAGCACAGCCTATTCTATGTTCAATTTCCTTATCTCTACCCTAAACTTGTTATAACTGATTCATACAAGGAGGGATATGAAGTATTTAGAGTTTTATTAATTCTACATCAACGTAGGTACCTTCACTATCTCAGATCATAATTTCTGTTTTGCAAAGGTTTATCTTGAGTTCTACTTCTTCTTAAATGATGTTGATTTTTGCTTCAAGATCATTTTTATCTCAACTATGAATACCTAGTTCATCATCATACCTACCTCATCATTAGTACACTGACCTCTTGTGGAAATCAAAAGAGCTGCTTCGTACTAGTAGATTCGTTTAGGATTTTGTACGGAATATTTAAATGATAATGACCGATTTCTTCACATCTGTGCTTGTCCACGCGCAGGGCAGAGTCTAGGAAGAGATTAAATAGACTGGGGTCTCTCAATCCCTCCTTCTTGTACTCCTGATGAGATTTGAAATGATTCGGTGTTTGGGTCATTATTAGACATATAAGGCTTTGTGAATCGATATGGTTCCTCTATCAGATCAACGTATTCAGTAGTGGCAGGGCTTGGGAGATATGTTCTGATGGATAAGAAAAGTAATTCTCTTATAGATTATCTGAAAGTGTACATTTTAGAGTTACTTTGATATGTCATCTCCTATTTGTCCATTAATGTTTGATTACACAGCAAAAAAAGATTCCAGATTTGGACATCAGATTGTATTTACAAAACTGGCAAGAAAAAGAAAGATGAATTCTTCTTGTTGGTATATTGTCAATGATTTGTGTTCATACCGAGTGTCAAGTCATACAGTATCGATGCAGTTTAACCTTTAACACACTGCATTATTCACTACTTTCCTTTCTACTGCATTGTTTTTCAAGGCTCCTCTACTGTACAACTTTATTTCAGTCATGGTCATTTTCTGTTGCCATAGCAGGATATGACAACACAACTGCAAAATTCAAACGCGCTATCATTATTCACTACTTTCCTTTCCACTGCATTGTTTTTTTAAGGCTCCTCTACTGTACAACTTTATTTCAGTCATGGTCATTTTCTGTTGCCATAGCAGGATATGACAACACAACTGCAAAATTCAAACGCGCTATCATTATTCACTACTTTCCTTTCTACTGCATTGTTTTTCAAGGCTCCTCTACTGTACAACTTTATTTCAGTCATGGTCATTTTCTGTTGTCATAGCAGGATATGACAACACAACTGCAAAATTCAAACGCGCTATCATTATTCCCTACTTTTCTTTCCACTGCATTGTTTTTCAAGGCTCCTCTACTGTACAACTTTATTTCAGTCATGGTCATTTTCTGTTGCCATAGCAGGATATGACAACACAACTGCAAAATTCAAACATGCTATCATTGATTCATCTGAGTCACGTGCTGTGGCAGGATAAATTTTTTGCTTTGCAAATAAAATTACTTTCTTAAAAGTTAATCTATAATTCATGAAGACTTTTATCATTTAAAATTTCTAACTAATGTATTTATTTGTTTTGTATAAATTTTTTTTTCGGTTCTGAATTTTGGTGCATGAAGTAAATTTAATTTGTGGGGCGTTATTTAGTCTTTTTTAGCCGGAGTTGTATGGGTAACGTAGAAGAAATACAAAACAAATAAATAAATAAGCAAGATATATAAATAAATTTTAAATAATAACTACATATTTATATACATATATAAATACATATATAAATAAAATAAAGAAACTAAAGGTCATGACCTTGAATAACATCAAGTATTATCCCTTAATAAAAGAAGTGAAAAAAAGGTCAATTTCCCCCATCCCCATCTTTTTCTCTAATCTCCCGGTGGCTTATACATATAAAGCTCACAAAAGTAATGATTGAAGATAATGTTTGAAACGAACTATCCACAGATCGTGTTAGTTCTTGTTAATATTCCGAGCTCTCGACTGGCTTCGGTCATTTTTTTTTTTAAAGAAGGAAAAGAAATACGTTCGGTAGATTGCACCTTGCGAATGATTTACACTTTTGTCTTTGTTGTCATGCGAATATGATGTTATTTTTTGAATTTGAAATCTTTGTGGTCTTGTATGACGGTAACATGGTGGGAATTCTGAAAAATGAAATACATTTTCAATTGCCTATTCCAGAATTATAATTGATTTCATTAACTACAGTAAATCTAACTTTCTGCAGTAAATCCTACATTACTTGTTGTATAGAAAACCAGAATTTCCCAAATATTCACAGAAGAAGTAAACAACAATGTCGTTATTACTTGTAATATAGCAACAACTCTAAGCCGAAGCTTGTAAAACTTTATTTGACTAATTCAGCTTTAGCGCTGAAAACATTTATTTTATTATAGCGGATGGTTGCAAGCGAGAGGGGAGATGAGATGTGCTTATTTTATTACTGAAGCCATACTTTTTCAATGAAAATAATTCAAATAAAAAAAGATCACAAAATGCTTCTAGATTATTTTCATTTTATTATCGATATGGATTTGCAGGTGACACAAAGAATAGAAGATCGGGATAAGATATCGGCGTGTCGAGTTCGAATTCTGGTTGAGATCTTTACGCTCACTTTCGTACAAATACCATCCGGGTAAGCAACGAATCCATCGTTTCTATGGACACTGTAGCCGTAGTTCGCAACTAGTATAGGGAAAGAACAAACCTGGATACTGGTGGGGCACATCCTTGAAATATAGATATGTTTCGCTCATCAACGTTGCCGTGTAATCCACAGGTTGGTTATGTAGGCATCACACTGACTTGCAGGGCGCCTCTAAGTCTAAACAGTCCCGATGTTGACATCACGAGTAAGAATACATCGAGAGAATAAAGAACGATTTCGCCTCTTCGTACCTGCCGATTCAACAAGCGAGAATCCCATTCTTGACTAAATACGATCAAAATTTACTAATTTTCTTTAACTAACAATAAAAATATTTCTGCACTTTTTTATGACTACTTATTCATATTCAAATAGGATACCTCGACGTGGTGTAATGGTTAGCGAGCGTGTTTTGCTGCATCAATTACGACTGAACGGTGAGTCCGATCCTCACTGGGTGTTCTATACTTTTCGGCCTTGTACCACATCTAAGCCGGGCTCAGAAAATCACTATTCAAATATATAAACATTTCGAGTTTTCGGAATTCGCTTCTTTTCTATTTACCAAAAAGCATATTGATTAATTGGAGTTTCTTTTTGTCGCTCTTTAAGCAACTTCTACAAAACGACAAATGAAGAAACAATTATTAATCTTTGACGTAGATTCAGACTTCCATCACATTTAGTCGACAAAAGCCTCTTTTGTCGTTCAGTGTTTTGGTCTCTCGGCTGTTGTCATATTTATCTGGTTACTTCACCCTGTTAAATCAACAGATTCTGGTCATTTGAAACTTAAATATGTCGATACATATAGATATATAAGCAAATATAATTATTTTCACTTATATCTAATAATATTAAGTACTAGCGTTGCCCGGGGATGTAACAGTAAGAGATAGATCAAGTATCGACCATCATAAAGACTGAAAAATAAAATTGACAAAGATTATTGTTTAAGGTTGACGGACAC